CATTAGGTAACTCGTTAAAATACAGGATGATTTTTTCTAGTGATTCTCTAATTTGTTTGAAAAACTAGAGTTAGGAAAAGGAAAATTAGAACTTCATGTTTAAATGCAATATTTCTCCATCCAAAAAAATTAAAAAACTAGGGGTTATTTAGAAACAAAATAATACTCTAATTTTCTAGAAAACTAGAGTAAAAAGAAAAGGAGAAAATTCAATATTTATCCATGAAAACATAAAAATTATTTTTTTAGTTTTTCAAATTTATATATGAGTTTGGAAAACATATTTTTTTAGGTTCTTCACAGTTATCAATATAGGTTTTTTTATATATATAGTTTTTAAAATAAATACTCCTTTTATGTTTGGTATCCAGAGATGGTGAAATCTGCTTTGGACTGAAAGAGTTCTGTCCTTGTTCGTTTGATCACCGAGGTATTGAGTTGTTGTGTGGTTATAATTATTTTTAAAAAATATTTTTTTATTTTGTAAAAATTATTTTTTAGATAGTCTATAAAAACAATTCAAAATAAATAAAAATAAATTTAATTTAATTTAAAAAATAAAAAATAAAATCCAAACAGCTTAGTCCAAAGAGATGTGCTTCTGGGTCAAGCCTAAAAGTTGATCTGATGTCATTATATGCCACTTTACTCCATACTTATCTGGCAAAGAATTAAACAAATAATGACAAAATAAGAGGGGAATTAAAGAAAGTCAAAGCTAAAGGTTCTCTATTCCATGTTATCATTAATTAATATGAAAATCTTGACCAGCTCTTCAAGATACTTAAAAAATAATATTTTTTTAATTTTTCTCTACTTTAATTTTTTATATATATTTTAAAATCATTTTAATATAAAATAAATTCTATAAAATAAAAAATAGTATTTCAATATATTCCTAATATCATAGTTTTGCAGCATAAACTGAGAAAATAATGATGAACATGGCATATTCCATGTTTAAAATGAATGAAAAAAATAAATATTCTCCACATGTATTATTGTCAACGGAATATAATCTTCTCCGGCTTTTAAAGCCACGAAGAAAAACTCAATAGCGACTGCTCTAACTCTTTGGGTTTCGTATGGTTCAATGTATCTTTTGACGATAAAGAAGAGATAATGAGTCTCTTGTCAATTATTATTATTGTTTTTTTAATAAATTTATCAATCTTTAAAATACAATTAGCATGGTTGACTAAAAAATTAATCTAAAAAGAAATTTGAATTATCAAATTAATTATTTTTAATAAATTAATATTATTTTATTTTTTCCAAGATTAAAATCTAGATTACGAGTTTTTTTTTGTAAAATATAATTATTTTTAAAAAATAATAAAAAAAGATTTATTAATACGCAAAAAGATGTCGGGCCTGTTGTCTATTGAACTGTTGCTTCTGTGGATGGCAAAAATATTTTTCTTTTTTGAGAAGGACAATTCCTTATAAAATTACATTTCAATTTATTGTCTCTTTCAATCATAATCCACAACAAGAGTTTCCCCACAATTAATGATGAGATAGGGATTTTTGTAGGCCTAACCTTGGGTTAAAAGTAAACAATAATTAGACGTTTAAGATTGAAAATAGACACCACAAATCTTCTATTTTATCAAGAGTAGCAAGCAAGTAATTCACCATCATGTATTATTTATTTTGGAGAAATTCAAGATTAGCAAATTTAATCAATTATCAATATTAAACTCATGAATTTTGAACTAGATTGGGGTGTTGAAATCTTAATTATTTTTGTATTATTTCGATATGTTATGCTGGTATCAAAAATAAATAAAAAATATTATTTTAATATATTTTTAATAAAAAATATTTTTAAAAATAATATTTATTAAATTTCGGTCACTGTATTATTGTTTTAAATTTAAATAAAAAGAAAAAAATGTGAGAAAAATGGTGTGGATGAATGGATTGATAATTTATTCAAAATCTAAGCAAGGTATGACCATATATATGCCATTTATATATATGTGTGCGCGTGTGTGTGTTCGAAGAGTAGAAAGAATGCAGGCAAGAAACAAGGCCTAGCTAAACTGATGACACTTGCCTTTGACTTGCGTTGACCCTCAAACATGCCACGTGTTGGGACCCAATCTGGTGCAGTAGGGCTCACATTTCAGGAAGGACACTTGCATTCATCGCTAAGCAGCTCTCGGTGTCAGCATTGCCTCTTCATGGGTGCTCACCCTCTGGAATGTTCACGTGTCCACTCCTTAGCCATCTGACTGTTAGAAAATTCTGTAATTATACGGTATTATCACTTTTCTTTTCTTTCCTTAAAAAACCTTTATTACCATTTTTTTTAATTACTTTAGCATTATAATTAACTTATATATATCTTAATTAATTTTATAAATTTTAAAATTAATTATCATATAAATTTCTAATAACTCTGAATTTTGTAAAATTCAAACAAATAACTTATAAAAAATAAATATATAACATAATGATTAGTTAAGTTACACTCTTAGAATTAATTCTATTACCATTTTAATTGTGCCAGTGGAAACCCAACTCTAAACATCCACATTCTTGAATCAAAGCATGTTGGTAAAATCATGTTACCATTCCAAGCTTTGTTACTATCTTTATTGTTATTATTACATTATTATTAATTATGAGAAAAAGAATACTTTCATTATTGAAAAAAATGGTTTAGGTCCAGCTTCATAATAATAATAATTGTTATCACTATTGAAATACTTTTCTCAAATTTACATTAAGTTATTTCCAAATTTTCAAAATATTTTTTTATATATATTTTAAAAAAAATACAATGAAATATTTGACTTCATTCATGAAATGCCCTCCAAGTAGAGAAGTATCTATAAGAAGAAAGTCCATCTAATTATCTCAATTATTTTTAAAATTGAGATATTTGATATTATAGTAATAATTATTTTTTAAAATATTTTTTACAAAAACATATTAAAATGTTTTTTAAATTTATTTTTAAAATTAACATATCAAAATAATACCACAATAAAAACAGGCACGATCTCAAAGTCAAACGGCACTTCGATTAATTTACGTTTTTTTCTCTTTATATTTTATATAAATAAACAACATTTTATAAGCACTGCACCCACCCACTTTGAACAGCCCGAAATCTGTTATTTGTTACTATCATTTGTAAGTGAAAAAAATATTGTAAAAAAGAATGGAACCGCTGTGACAACATAGTACTCATTGATTCGTGGATAAACAATGTCAAAGGTTGACGAAACCATCACACAGCACAAAATCTTATCTATCCCTACCCAACTTGTCTTAAAAGTATTTGTCTCTCTTGTCATGAAGGTGATCCAAACGCACCCCATGAAAGCAACCCAACTTCTTTAAATTTATCCATCAACCTTCTCCTCCTATCTAATTATCTATGCAACTTTGACGTAGCACAAAATCTTATCTATCCCTACCCAACTTGTCTTAAAAGTATTTGTCTCTCTTGTCATGAAGGTGATCCAAACGCACTCCATGAAAGCAACCCAACTTCTTTAAATTTATCCATCAACCTTCTCCTCCTATCTAATTATCTATGCGCAACTGTGATGGGACTCTAGGGTTTTTAAAAATAGAATTACTGTTTTTTTAAATTGTTTTTTAATATTTTAAAATAATATTTTTTTATGTTTTTAATATTATTTTGGACATTAACGCATCTAAAAAATAATTTAAAATAAATAAATTTTAATTTTTTAAATATTTTAAAACACAAAACAATGAGATCTGTAATTAAAAGGCGAGAAAGCTAGCACGTGAAAACCCATAGAGTTTCTATCCTGTAACTTGCGAGTAACTCTCTCTTTGAATTACATTAACGACATGTTAGATTTTATGTTGGGTCGAATTTGTTTACCTAACCTCCCCTTTATTTCCCTTCTTTAAATTCTCAACCGTCCCCCTGAAATTCAAGTTTCAAACTAGCGTATGATAAGATGGTGTGTTTGGCCCTTCTCCTCCTTATCACAAAGGACTTTGCATTTAATTGTAGTTATAACGACACTAGTAGGAAAAGGTAAATTTAAAAAGAAGACTCACTTGTAACAAAATCAAAATGAAGGATTTAAAATGAAATCATTTCAATATCTTTTAAAAATAATTAAAATAAATTTTGACTAAATTGATCGAGTTATGAGCTAACTAGTTAAATTATTTGGATTTTATCTAGTTAATTATTATTTAATTTTTTTTAGCTGGCTATAAATATATCTCAAATAAATTCATCAAATCAAAATAGGTTTAGTAGCATCAAGTAAAATAAACAAGATAAAAAAAAAAATAGCTTGAGGAGTAGCTTAATTCATCAATCCTTAAGTTTACTTCTTAATAATTACAAGTTTAAGTTTTTTAAGAGTAGCTAAAAATTTAAATGATTATTAATTTTATAAATTATAGAATTAATCAAAATATATAATTTAAATATTTATATTAATAAAAAAATATTTAATCTTGACACGTAGATGATACTAGCAAAATGAGAAATAAATGCAAGAAGGAGATGATTTGGCTGTGAAAGGGACACTAGAACTTTTGTTCAGGCTGTTTCATGTAACCTCAGGAAAGTTTGCAGCCAAATTATCATGTCTGGTCACATCTTCTCTAGATTTAAAGCATAATTCAATCCATTTATCAAAATTTAATTTATAAATTTCCACAATTAATGCATATTAGAAAAAAATCTACGGAATTTGCAACTTAATTTTATTTAAGATCAATAAACCTTACTTAACGTAAAAGAATCTCAAAAAAATCAATTTAAAAATTCCTTGGAAATCTAACCGGCTAGAATGGTACCCTTTTTTAGGTTAATTGAGCACTAATAATCAAATATTAAAAAATTATGAGTGTCAAATTATATACATATATAATCACCATATATTTTTGTGATTTTCAATTGGTAAATTAGCATGAAGATTTGCTCTTAGGTTATTTTGAATGAGATGAAATTTTAATCAATTTTAAAATATTATAATAACATCAATAAAACATATTTACGGGGTTTACACAAATAATTAAAACTTTAAATTAAAAAATATTATAATTAGTAAAATAAAATTAACCACAGTATTTGAAATTTGATGATAGAAAGAATTAAAAATACATCACCATCCCACTATCCTCGATGGATGAAATTAATTATTATTTTTTTATAATAAGATCCAATTTGAAATTTTAAAAATGTGCATGTATTGACAAATAGGGGGACAAACATACACTCACCACTCCCCATGTATCTTTCCCATTTCATAATAATAATAATAATAATAATAAAAAACCCAATAATCACAAATAAAATTAAAATAAAAGGTGGTTAATAAATTTCATCCCAGGTAGGGCCACTCCATTAGCAACTGTTAATTGTCCACTAATTATTAATCAGTTACTTAAAATAACCGTATATCCTTATCTACTTACTCTTTTATAACCGTATAATTCGACGTATACTGTACACCATACCCCCATCCCCTCTCTTTTAAGCATACAGCGTGGGTGTAGAGTGAATGACCTGGAAGGAAGGAAATAAAATGGATTGGAGTCTTTAGCCTTCGGAATCCTAAAACATAAAAAAATACACTACAAAATAATTTTATTTTTATTTTTAGAGAATAATAATCCGAACAGAGATCGATCTTACTCTTTCGGGTCGGATCCTGGGGTTCACTGTGCCCGGTCTTATCCCAGATCCTTCATAGCCATTGATAAATCTGTCACTATCTTCTAGTTGATTGATGAAGTTTTGATTTTCGCTGCACGCGTTTCGAGGTAAGGAAGTTGTCGGGAGTTTCGTTGTTTTTTTCTGTTTGGTTGCTGAGAAAGCTTTTTCAAGTTAGTCTTTCTCGCTCTCACTGTAGAGTTAGATTTGAGTGGTTGGTGAACTTGTTTGGTACTTAACGGAGTGTTGGTTTTTGTTTGCTTGTTTTTTTTTTTTGGCTATGAGCAGATCAGTGTTAAAAGGAGAGATTTGAGACTTGGAAATGCTGACATTCTTTTAATTAATTTGTTGAGAAATATTGGATTTTGTACCGATTTGATTCTGATTTTCTTGAGGATTAGAGATTCATTTGTTTAAGTCTTGTATGGTTGCTGAGAAAGTGGGGGAGGGAAAAATGGTTGGGATTAGTTAAAGTGTTATAGATTGAATGGAGTTGACTAGGTTACTTAGCCATCCTTTTTCTTTGTAATCCAGTGTTTTGTAAACACAGTTTGTTAGACATTTTTCTGAAAATTGTGCTGGTTAATGAGTGCAATTTTGGGTTTTGAAGCACAATGAAATTTTTGAGGGGCTTGTTTCTGTGTGGAAAACGAAGGAGGGTGAGATTGAGGATTGTTTTCGATGTTTAATAGCTTTGGGTTTATAATCTTTGGGTTTGTAATTATGACTCGGTTATTATATGAAAACAGAGAAACAGTTTTTGCAGTCTAATTGTTAGTGCTCAGTGTATGCTCTGTGTTTTGTCGAATCATCTTTTAGTTGCTTAAGTTTGTTTTATTTATTTAACTATTCTTCCTTGCAGAGTGTGATGGATTCTGATTATCATCTTTTCCCTGATGATGGGCTTGAGACTGTCCATCAAAATGGTGTTCATGAGCAAAGTGCTGCTGCTGGAGAGGATGGTGTTGTTTCGAATAATTTAAGTGAGAGCATGGGAAACGCTTTTAAGGTCGATGATTGTACTAATGATATTCTGTCCACCAGAGAAGTCGAGGGTGAATTAAAGGTATATGTGGGAATCAATGGATTTTCTGTTTCTAAGGTATGGAGATGCTTGGCCCTGTGTGTTTTGTACAACGGCTAAAACTAAGCCTGATTTTAGACTTGGTGTTTTTATCACATAGGAAGGAGAAGCCAAAGTGAAAGATGCTGATAATTCAGAGAAAGCTAGATCACAGAAGGGTTCAGGAAAGAGCGGCAACGCAAAGCCCTCAAACCCAAAAAATGTCTCAGCCACTCAGGTGAAGGGTAAGGATGGAAGAGATGCTGTGGCTCGAACTGCTGTTTCAAATGGCTCTGTTGCTGTAAATTCACAATTAAAACAGCCTTTGAAAAGTAACTCATTCAATGAGAGGCAGGGTCAGGCATCCAAGGTATGGTCGACAATGCTTTTTGCCTTCAGACCACTTGTTGGTCATTATCTTCACATTTGCTAATCATTTTTCTGCTCTTGTCTGCTACAGCAATCTGGGAAGTCTGATGCAGTGCTGTCTGCTGGCCTGGTGTATGTATTGCTTGTATATTTTTTTATTTGTCACATTTTCTTTATCTTATTATTTTTTTTACCTTAATGCCCTGGACTTGCATGTCAGTCATTACTAATTGTTAACTGGTTAAATTTGATCCAAAATGTGTCTGTCTGAATTTTTAAATCACATTTATCCACAATGCTTGTTTCTCGAGCCTTTTGTTAATGGTGATTTTGCTATATACAGGGAGAAGGCGAAACTGAAACCTTTGAAGAACGGGACTGTTGTGAAAGCTGAAGGAGAAACAGAATCTACTTTGTATCCTTTTTTCTTTGAATGTTGTTTCTTTTTCTGAGCAGAACTAGTGTGATCTTCAACTATATGTCCATAGGCTACCCTTATCTGTGGAGTGCACATGTTTTCCCTTAATTTCATTGTAGAAGTCCCACTGCAGAAGATGCCAAACCTCGCAAGTTCGGTACACTTCCGAATTATGGTTTCAGCTTTAAGTGTGATGAACGAGCTGAGAAAAGAAAGGAGGTTAGTTTTGCACTTGAACCTTCTTTTTTATTCATTTAAGCTTCCCCGCAGCAGGTATGGTGCGAACATAATATCTTTAATGTTATGCTGTTCAGTTCTACACTAAGCTTGAGGAAAAGATTCATGCAAAGGAAGTGGAAAAGAGTACCTTGCAAGCGAAGTCCAAGGTACGGAAATGTTTATAATTTCTATGGACTGTAATTTCTATTTGAATTTGTTTCTCGTCATGGCAATCATTCAGTTCTCTCACAGGAAACCCAAGAAGCTGAGATTAAGTTGTTTAGGAAAAGTCTGGCTTTTAAAGCAACCCCTATGCCCAGCTTTTATCAGGAGCCTGCACCACTGAAGGTGGAGCTAAAGAAGGTAACCATGTGTTCTTTTATTACTAGGGCATGCTTGTTTGTCTCTTGCATTCTTGCATTTTTGTTTTGTTTTGTTTTCATGCAAGATTTGGGTTAATGTGCATTCACTGCAGTTTTTGGGAATGCAAAATAGACTGGGTTATAGGATGCTCCAGTTCCAAATTGCTATCTGAGCATTTCTTGAATACATTTCTGCACTCCACTAGTCCCTTCAATTGCATCCGATTGCCAATTATTTTGGGTTGTGTTGTTTTCTGTTTTTCCATCTCTGTTTTTTATCTGTCTCAGATTTATTTATTTAGAATTTGATTGTTTGAATTGAAGTAACCATAACAAGGTACTATCATGGATCATTATTTTCATATCATTTGTGCTTTTGTCATTGCCACGATTATCTTGCTGCCATTTGCATCCTTGCTTGGTTAGATTCGTAGTTCCATGGTCCATGCTTGTAACATTTGGCCTTTTGTTGCAACTAGTGTTGGAGTTGTACCAATGATTGTTTGCTTACACTCCTTACTACCTGCACGCTGCAGGTTTTTACCATGTCACCCTTTGAAAAGTGGCAACAAAACTTGCATTGTGGAATACTATTAGGGTCTCACCATTTAGATGCACCAGTGATATTGTAGTATTCCCTGGTGGAGGTACTGTTTGTGCCAATGTTGGACAACACTGTTGTTTACCAATATTAAAAGGCTATGTCATGACAATCTTTATTCTTCTTTTGTCAATATCTCTTCTGTTGAATCTCCTCATGACCAAAACTCAGTTAAGAGGTTATACTTGGGAAGATTTTTCAGGGAAGCCCTCTAATGCTATCAAGATCCTTGTTATTGTATTCATCCTAGTTAACTCTACATGAACGGCTCTGTGTTTAAAGTCCTGTAGAAGTGTAGTTTTGCATTTTCCAATGGGTGCACTACCATTGGACTCAGATGATATTATTTGGCAATTTCTGCCTCCTATGTGGCTGCTTTGGTCTTTTAGTAATCTTGTTCTTGATATATCTGGCAGGACTGTTATCCAAGTGAAATTGCATTGGCCTTGATGTTGTTACTTTGATGCAGATACCCACAACAAGAGCGAAATCTCCCAAGCTAGGCAGAAAGAAGAGCCCATCCCCTGCGGACTCTGAAGGAAAGAATAGCCAGAGCAGTCGATCAGGTCGTCTGAGTTTGGATGAGAAAATATCCTCTAAGATTCCTATCAGACTTTCTCCTGCCCATCCAAAGAAACCGCTGAGGAAATCCCTCCCCAAACTGCCTTCTGAAAAGATCAACTTATATGCAAATGATGAAAAAAGTAAATTGCCTAAAGCATCAAATGAGGAAAATACCACCTTATCTGATAAAAAAAATGAAGGTGTATCCGCCAACCAAGAGCAGGAAGCTGTTCCGAGGAATGATGCAAGTGAATTTCTGCCCCCAAAAGAGGAGGTGGTGGTTCAAGAGGAAGCTGCTACGTTGATGAAAGGTCCCATAGCTTTGGCAGTTTGACCAAAAAAAAAAGGAAAATCCATGTGCGTAAATAAAAAAAAAAAGGTGGAAGACCGGGATTATTGGACAATGAAGGCGTGAAAGATTTTGCATGATAGATTGTGATGTTGTGTTTGTCCCTAGTCAGCAGCATTGATTGTTGTGTGCATGATTTCAGGTTGCTGGTCTTTCCGTTAGGGTTCTACATTCTTGCATTATTGTACGTTGTGACTTGCAAAAGTTATTCAAGTTTTACATGTTATTTCTTATTTGCCTGCTGAATTGAAAATATTTAGCAAAATTTTGAAGTCTGCTGTTAGATAGGCCATGCTCTTCTGTACTGTCCCTTCGAACCTCCTATATGTGCGCAATTGGATTTTGTTAAGGTGAATGTGGTTGTGTGAACTGTGAGCCCTTTCTGTTTTTTGATTGTGGTTTTTTTACAGTCATTATATATACAAGGAAGACAGCCGACTGGGAGAAGAGAGTGAAGTGAGAGATGGAGAATGGCTTCACCACCAAACCACATCAACACCGGTCTATAAACTATAAACCCTAAGCCCAAAGCGCATTAGCTTCACCACGGGGCGTGGTCAGAAGGAAGTAATGAGCCCAAAATTTGCAAGTATTAGCTGCAGCACCATTGCTACTGTCATAGTTGCATGGTTACAAGATTCAGCCCAAAATATGATCCGGAACTCACCATGTTGATGGGAATTGGTAATGTTAATGGCTGGAATCCAGTGCATGATCATAATTCAGTTTATCAGGCCAGTACTAGACTGTAAAGAGTAGAATATGATCCAGAATTCACCATGTTGATAGGATTTGGGAATGTTAACGGCTGGAATCCAATGCATAATCACAATCCCCCTGGTCATAAATGTGAAAACAGACTGATGTTTATGCTAGAGGAGGAAACAGAGGAAGAAAGAGGGGATCGAGAGCTATCTTTAGCAGATTTCACTGATGTGGTGTTAGAAGAATATTCTGGGGAGCTATGTCGGAAATTACTACATGCTAGATTTGGTGGGGCTCAATATAGAACAGTGAATGTTAAGGCTGCAGATGGAGCTGAGATTATTTGTGAACTTATGTGATAATTTTGAATGGAAAATGCAATAGAATACATTGAATACAAGAGCATTTGTATTTCAACTTGGGGTTTATGACATGATCCCGGGAATAGAATGGTTATATAATCTGGGGTGGAATTTCAAGAGACTGTGGATGAAGTTTTGGTGGAAGGGTAAACAGATAGAATTGTAGGGGAGGCCACCGCAAAATACCGGGCGTTGGAGTTGAGGAGGAGGTTGATACACTACTTTTCCATCGCCAAGAGTTAAATTGGTTGCAATTAACTAATTTGTTGAGTCCTTCGAAAAAAAATATTGAGTTGCATGAAACGGAGTTGGCAGTAGAAATAGCTAAGGAATTGTAAGCTGTATTGGAAGAATTTGGTGATGTGTCTGCAGAACCTCAGGAATTAACTCCCTCTCGTAGCCATGATCATAGAATTGTGCTCAAGTAAGGAGCTGAGCTAGTTAATATTAAGCTATATCGTGATCCACATACTCAGAAATATGTCATCGAGAAATTGGTTCAAGAAATGCTGGATACTGGTATATAATTCAATCTACCATAGCCCTTTCTCGTCTTGTAACAGGTCGACGGGACTTGAAGGACGTGTGTTGATTACCGCAACGTTAATCAGGGATTAATTCCTTATTTTATCCATCAAATTAGGATATTACCACTAAGGTGACTAGAATTGAGACATTCATCATTTTTTTCTTCACTTTCTCATGATTTTTGTAAACTTTGCTTATATATTTTTAACTTCCTTTCTTAATATAATTTTCATAGTTTGGGTCGACAGATCTTGCAAACAATCTCAGCATAAAAGACCTTATCCAACTGGGCAGTCCTATGGCATAATGCCAAGTCAGCTACCTGTATCCAAGCGTATCCAATTCTAAGATTCTTAAGCCACGAATTGCTCATGTGGGTATGCAAGGTCTTTTGGATCCCAAGTTGTATTATGAAGAATTATAAGAGAAGAGAGAGTGGCTTTCTCTGGTCATTTTTTGCGCATTCAAAGAAGCAAAATGGCAGCCGCCGCCGTGATGACTGCTAATACCCTCCCAGGATTCGATGGCCTCAGACCCTCAGCCGCCCCTGTAAAACCCCTGGTTAGTGCTGCTAATAAGAGTTCTTTCTTCTGTTTATTTACTGTTTTTCTTTCTTTTTTTGGGTTAATTAAGTTGAACTTCTCTTGAACATGTATATACATTGATCAAAATCTGAAATATTTTGGACATCAAGCAGGCAGCTGTTCAACCAGTGAGGCGAGAGGGAAATGGAGCTCTAGGTGCTCGTATGGATTTCATCGGTTCACCCACAAATTTGGTAAGAATCTTACTGGTCCACGTATCAGATTTCTTGAAGGAAATCGAACGTGTTTCTTTTAAAGATGAATGTTCTCTCTGTTCATAGAAATGGCGGGACAGGAAAATGGACTCATGAGCTTACGCAATCCCATTTTGTCAGATAATGGTGACAAGCACAAGCCTCATGCTGTTTGCTGGAAGATTTGGGCTAGCTCCATCAGCAAACAGGAAGGCTACAGCAGGATTGAAGCTTGAGGTGAGGAACTCAGGCTTACAAACCGGTGATCTAGCTGATACCTTGGCGTGTGGCGCTGTTGGCCACATAATTGGCGTCGGGGTTGTCCTTGGTCTCAAGAACATGGGTGCATTGTAAGAATCTTCATAAGCATATGAATTGAAGTGGCTTTTAATTCTGTTCGTGTGCCTTTTTCCTACATGCAGATGCTTGTTGTCTGAGGAACAATTTGTTCGTAACCCATCAGAATTTCAAATTAATTTCATACACAAGAAAAGAATATACATGTGTTCATATCTTAGAGAAATCTAATCAAGAATTGGGAATTTGATGCATGAGTTTAATAAAATGAATTGAAAAAATATATGAATAAATAAATTATAAAAAGAGCTTATTAATTTTTTTATATTTAATTATATGACAATAAAAATGGATTTTCACATGAACAATAATGGTTTAGATTTTATAGAAAAAATGTAATTTTTTAGTCTAAATTCTTATTTTTCTTATTAATGTATTCTTCTTTAGAAAAAAAACACATCTCTTTTAGCTATGTGGTATATTGCATGAAAACTAAAGACAATTAAAAAAAAATATCTTAAAAAAAATAATGGTTTGAAATAAAGAGTAAAAATGAATTATTTTAATCAAACCCCCTTCCCTTATTTATGTGTGCCTTTTCTCTTTTTTTTTTAATTGACTAAAAATGTCTTTTTTATTGTTTTTAAATAAAAATTCATTATAACCTTAAAAACAAGTTTAAATAAAAAAACATTAATTGATAATTTGAAATGAATGTATTAAAAAACTTAAAAATAATAAATTTATGAAAATGTATATGAATATTTTATAATAAAAAAAACTAATATTTTATTCTCATTGAATATTGAATATTCATGAGTAAATATTTTAGGAAGTTATATATCATTAGATTCGTATATAATTAGTCAAAAAATAATTTTTAATATTATCATAAAAAATACTAATATTATGTCAAATTTGGTCCTTAATCTCTTAATTTTTTTAACAAAAATAAAAAAAATTATTTTATAAAATTTATAGAAATAAAGTTCAATGATAAAATCTATACAAATTAAAGGGACTAGAATATAAAAATTTTAGATTTACACACAATAAATGAACAATGAATTATGAGTATGTGGACAGTGTTTTTGTGCACGGTTAAGTCTAAATTTGATATATTTTATTATTATTATTATTAATTTGCTAATTTAAAAAATCAATGATTTTCTATATTTAAACCTAATCTAAATCTTTCACTTCTTAATACATGATTTCTTGTGAACGCACCAATCCATGCATGAATGAACTACTTGAAACCCAGTTGAAAATGCATTTAATTATGATACAAGAAAGCCGAACCAAAATTCTTGGAATGGAAGGCCTATCAAATTTGGAGGGCCCAGTTCGGAGCCTCTTCTTCTCAAGTGATAGGATTTGTCGAATCCAAATTCCATGGTAGGATTTATGAAGGTCAATTTCACCATGGGTGGTGCTTGGGGACACGAGATATCTTGTGATTGATGATGGGATCTTTTGACAATAACACTTCTTTATTATTTTAATGGATTCTTTGTGATTGATTTGATAACTTGAATAGTTAACCAAACCCAATAAAAAAAAAGATAAAAAAAGAAGAGAATCTCCAGTCAAAAAACTAGTAATGAGATGGTGGAGGAGTGGTCGACAACAAGATCGGGTTCTCACTTTATCAGATTCTTCTGCTAACCACTAAAAGATTTTTACATGAACAGCTTCTTGAAATTATGTTGCGTGTTTCACACATCTCACCATGATCATCCATGTGATTATGTGGACTTAATTGTATTGATAGCAAACCACTCTAGATTTCTCACGTCCATTCTCATATACTTGAACATCATCATCGATTGGAGCTGGGAGATATCATCCATAGCTGTGGCTTCAAATCAATGGAAGTTGCATCCAGGGTTCAGAGAATTGTTGAATCTGTTTGATTATATTAATCTCTGCGACTAGTTCTCATAGTTTTGGTCAACAGATAATCTTGTCAACAATTTCAGCTAAGAACTTAAATTTCCTGAAGCTTTTCCCAACCATTATACAAGGACAACGACAACTATGAAGCTTCCTATAGACGTCCAGAACCATAGATTAGAAAAAAAGATAGAGGTGAGCAAATTCAGTTCACTTGCTAGATGCATTGAACACACCTCAGCTTGATGTCACACCTAACAAATCAAAACCAAATTTCTAGTCAAGCAACATGCGCCCCCACAGAAAGCACCATGCCTCATATATATATATATGAAATTAGAATCAAGCTCTCATTAAATATGGCATGACCTTGATAATACCAGAAGCAGATGATACAATTTTCGGACGCAAAAAACGTTGAGAACAGAAAATTTAGGATTCCATAGTAATACTTGGGCAATGACTTCCTTTGATCATCGAAAGAAAAACCATCAAGGGATGGAAACAAGCAAGTAGAATTATAATAAAGAAATACACAGGTTTTATTTATAAGCATTCCGTTAAGATAAAAACATGCATCACAAAGGGTAGATGCCTATTTCATTACATGATAAAAAGGCTGCGTGATACAGTTCGTGAAGAAATGGAGACTGTAAAAAACAAGGGCTTGGAGAAAAAAAAACCCCTCTAGAAAGAGGAGGTTATCATGGCAGACTGTATAACTTGTTGCCACGGCCAAAACCCTCGCCAAACAGACCGAAAAGTTGAACTGCCAAAAGCAACCGTAACGACTGACTAGTAGTAACCTACCCTTTGAGGAAAACAGC